CTCACCCTCGCGTTGACGTCCTCGTTGCGGATGATTTCGGAAGCAATCAAGTTACTGATCTGGGAGCCCACACAACAAGACAAGAGAAAGGTGGGGCGAGTGAGCATGGTGGCTGCGACACATCGCGGGTTTGAACATCCCAAAGGAAGGCTTAGGGACACAGCTGGGACAGCTGACAGCTCAGTGGGGCGGCTGGTTAGAGACGCAGGACACAAAAGACGAGAAGTTTCCTCTGCGTCAGGAACGCCAATTAGAAAAGAGTGAAAAAGGTCATCTCCAAAATACCAGTGGGAATCTGTAAGTTACGTAGGAATTAAGTACGCTGGTATACGAAAAAAGGTTACCAAAGGTTATAAAAGGTTTGACTAATGAGGAAAAGGATCAAATTCCGAAGTAGAAATGTAAATATGCCAGTTTTCAAAAGCGTTACATGTCAAACATCGTACTAAATGGGCAACGACTAGAAGCGTTCTCTTTAAAACCACAGACAAGATTCACTGTCGCCACGGCCACTCAGCACCGTCCTAGGACAAGGGGCACGGGGTGGGGTGGAGGAGGCGAGTGCAGCCACCTGAGCGCGAGTGGCTCCTTAAATCCTGCCCCCTGAGCACCCTGCTTGCCTCACCCTGATTCGAGCCCTGACACTGGAGATCGTAGCCAGTACCATTCGGTAAGACAAGTTAAAGCCAGAAGGACGGGGCAACGGCAAAAGGAGCTGTGCCAGAGAGGTGAAACCACCATCGGCCCCGTCGTGGGGACGCGTGTTCTGTGTTGGAAAGAAATGGTGGGTTTTGCACAGAGGGCAGCCCTCCAGAGGCGGAGGCGGGTTGCGTGGGCTCGGAGCAGGCGCTCCTGCTGTGTGATGCTGGGGAGGACGTGGAACCTCCCTGAGCCCGGGTTCTTCACCCGTTAAGTGAGGAGGACAGGATCCAATGAGAGGCTGCTCCTGAAACCCCCAGCATGGCGCCCGGCCCCAGGTAAGCATCATGTAAACGCTCACTTCCTGCTCTCCTCTTTTACTAACTTGCGTCCTGGGACAGGACGGGAGGGTGTGGATTTTGGTGCCTGGTGCTGTCGCTGGAGCTGCGTGTCAGGTGTGGTGCCGGGGCCTTGTCCTGCCGGACGTGTGGCCGTCCATTCTGCTGCTGTGCCCACTCCAGGGCTCCTCCCTGCATGGCAGTGCCAGGTCTCCAGGACCTTCTCAGGATGGGGTGTGCGCCGGCCCGCCCCTTGCTGGGGGTGACGTGAGGTGGCCCTGGCCAGGCGGTCAGGACAAGTGCATCATGTGCTCCCACTGCCAGCCATCAAAGGCTCTTCATGTGTGTTGATTAAACTCAGAGGAACGGGATGCCGGCTGCGAGTGCCCTCGGGGCTGTCATGCGGCCCCATGGTCACAGGGGTCAGAGCACGCGTGGGCAAACGCGGGGAGGTGTCGGGAGCCGTTTCTTACAGTGGGGGCCCTGTGCTGCCACATGCTAGCTAGGATAGGAACTCAGTGTGTGTGTGTGTGGGGAGGGCAGCGGTTACGTGTATTAAAGAACAAAGAGAAAGTGCATGTTCCCTGTGACGTGCGTCACACCCCAGAGACTCGGCACCATCCAGCCGCAGTTCTCTGCTGTGCCGTTTCCCCGAGAGCCAGGGGCGTGTGGTGCCCGTCAGTGCCCTGCTGACTGAACGCAGGGCCTTCCCGCTGCACACACTGGGCCACTTCGCTGGTCGAGGAAAGCCGGGGGGTGGGGTCCCGGAGGAGGGGGCTGGAGGAGCCACATACTGGGCTCGGTTTCAGCAGCTCAGTGGCCTTGGTCCCTTTAACGTTCTCTCGTTCTCTCGTGGGGCCATCCTGCCCACACGCAAAGGCAGGAGAGTTGGGACTCTGCCAAAACTTCAGCAGGTCGTGCATGTGTGAGAGGGGAGTTGTCTGACCTCTTCCCGCCAAACGTTACTTGCTTCCAACAACAATAGGAGTAAAAAATGAGAAGCACAGCAAGGTGTCCTCAGTGCTACCAGGTCTTCTTCCCTGGACTCCAGGAAGCTGCTCAGAGGAGCGGCCCCCCTAGGGACCCCCAGCCCTGCAAAAAAAACAAACAAACCCAGGACAGAAAGGCACTGCCCACCCCTACTCACGTCGTTGAAATGCTTAGTGGTTTTCATGATGTAAGGGGTCCTTTCGTTCTTCTCCAGTTTCATCCAGCCTTGTCCGAAGAACTCCCTGTGGGAAGGAAAGGGGACACCAGGGCGGACGCGGTCAGGTGGCCTTCCTGATTTCTTACTTTCGAAGGTGTCATTTCGGGGAGTAGCTAGCTTCCTGCTGAATGTGGAGGGATGGGAGCCGGACACCGCAGCCACTCACTCATAAGGGATCTTCTTGAAGACCAGATGGTCCAGGAGGGTCAGCTGCTCTGCGATCTCCAGGGCGGAGTGGTTTTCAAAGGGCTCGGCCTTCATGCCCTCGGCCTGTGGGGGGGCAAGGTCCACGTTAGGCTCACAAGGGGCACCGCCTGGCTTCTGGCCGCTTTTCCGACAGATGAGGGGAGATGAGGAGAGCGGACGGAGGGGGCCGGAGCCGCCGTTTGTCACGCCCTGTGTGCTGCAGGCTGGTGCCCTGTGCTCACCCCTGTAGTCAGCGCTCACCCTGCAAGGGAGCTGCCGTCCCCCCAGTGCATGAAGGAGACAACAGGGGCTTCCAGGGGTCAATGCTAGCTCGAGTCACTGCGTCTGGCCCAGGCTGTGACCTGTCAGTCCCCTCAGGTTCTGCCTGGGTCCACAATGGGCTTCATAAAATTCCCCTTAAAAATTCGCTAGCAGACAGGGCCTCACAGGAATGACTGCCTCCAGGGACAGTCTGTCCTGTGCTCAGAAGACTAGCCTTGGTCCCAGGGCTACTGTATTCCTGGCCCCTAGGGCCACCCGTGAGTGGACCTCATCTTTAAAGGTGTCCACCACCTGAGCCCTTTGACCGGGGGCAATCCTGAGGAAACACTAGCCAGGGGACAGAGGTCCCCAAGGCTGGGGTGACATAAGGGGTGGACACGGGGAGGCTAGTGTCCTTTGCACGCAGGCCTCATGGAAGGTCTCTTAGATCCAGGAGGAGCTGGAGGGAGCTGGAGAAAAGGGAGACGGGGATGATTGCAGGTCTGGGAGGAGCCTGTGTCCACCCAGGATAAGTAAAAAACAAGCACTCCCCATGGCCTCCACCTTGCAGAGGCCTGGGTGCATGTGCACGTGTGTGTGTGCATGTGCGCATGCGCGTGCGCATGTGTGCATGTGCACGTGTGTGTGCATGTGTGTGTCTGTGTGTGCATGTGCGTGTGTGTGCGTGCATGTGTGTGTGCGTGCATGTGTGTGCGCGTGCGTGCATGTGTGTGTGTGCGCGCGCGTGTGTGTTCCCCCCACGGAGTCCTTGGGGCTGAGCACAGCTGTGTAGGAGCCCCAGTGCAGGAGCCAGTGCGGGGGGCACGATGCCGTGGGAGTGACCGTTCTCAGGGAGGCAGTGGGGACTCCGTGTCACAGGGTGCGGGCGGGCAGCCCAGCCACGTCCACAGCTCAGGGCCTGGGGACAGCAGCGGGCTGCTGGGTGAGGAGGAGCAGGCAGTGCCCTCTGCTCCCTCAGGGAGTGGCCCAGGAAAGAGGGTGACCTGCGCATAGTGGCGGGGACAGCGCCCACCTCCTTTCACAGGGCTTGCAAAAGCCCTCATGACAAAAAGCCCTGTGCTCTCTACTGAGGCCACCAGGGCCTCCTGCAAACTGGATGTGCCCCACGCAAGGTCAGGGCCACCAGCAGTTCAACGGCACTTTGTCTGGAAGAGTCTCAGGCTGTTCCGGAAGGAACAAGGGGCTCTCGTGCTCTTGAAGGGTAAACACTGCAGCCAGGCCCTGCAGGAAACGGGACAGTGCAGCCCCTCCCCATGGAGGGGCCCTTCTCCCAGGGTTACCTGGCATCTGGCCCCAGAGGGTCACAGGCAGCACGTGTGGGTCCCGGGCACCATCCCTGCTCTGCTGCTCTCAGAGCAGGATGTGGGCAGGGTGACTGCGCTCTGTTAGGGGGTCCTGGGGGCGGGGATCCTGGAAGCCAGAGGGCTGGGGGCTGGGGACAGGCCCTGCTCACCATCTGCGTAATCTCTTCCAGTGTGATCTGGTTGTCACCTGGGTCCTCCTGTGTCAGAGTCCTGAGGACAAGAAGGCACGGTGAGCCTGTGCGGTCTGTACCCCACCTCACCTCCGGGGTAGCGCCCTGCCACCCCCGTCTTTGCTCTGCCCTCCCCTTTGCCAGAAGCCCCTTCCCCTGTTTTCTTTGCTGGCTTCTTCCTGACGGCCCGTCCTCAGGATCCAGTCGCTGACCCTCCCAGCTGGGCGAGGTCTCCCCCTGGGCGCCCTCAGCCTCTGAGCCTCCTGTGGTCTCAGCCCCCGTCTCCCAGTATCGGCACCTGGCCCCCACTAGACCTGGGCCGGGGCTTCTTGAGGGCAGGGTGTTATGAGTGATGGAGGCTGGGAACACCCGGGAGCCCAGCCAGGGGTCGGGGACAGTCAGGAGAACTGCACAGCCTGCTCTGTCTGCTCTGCACCCTCGGCAGCTCCTGAACCAAGGTGATGGGCTCAGAGGCTCAGCACCCTCAGGGGGCCCCCAGGGAGGACTGTGAGGGACACTGGGAGGCTGACTCTGTGTGCACGTAGTGGGGGTGGGTGCTGAAGATGAGGGAGGAAGACCCTGAGCCTGGGGGACGACGGGCGGTGGCATGGGGGCCTCAGGAGAGCAGAGGGGAGGGTCTGGCTGGAAGAAGGCTGGGTCAGAGACGGCCACTGAAGGCAGAGGGGCAGCTGAGGCCAGGCCAGAGTGAGGAGGACAGCTGGCCCTGAGCCCTTGCCTGAGTCAGCCCAGTGGGAGCAGCCGCGCACAGTGGGCCTGTGCCCAACACCCCCTGAGCAGCCTGTGGAGGCGGCAGCCTGGTGTCACCCCACCTTGTTTACCAAGTTACAGGGGAGAAAGGTGGGGCTCCAGGCAGGGCCCTGGCTCAGGCCGCCAGCAAGTCCCTGCCTGGGTGAGCTCAGACACGGCTGCCTGACTTCTGACCCCCACCAGGGAGAGGCAGCCTGGGCAGGAGGAAAAGTACAGGTTTGGGGACAATTCAATGCAAAAGACATTCCCCGTATGATATCGGGGGTGGGGGGGGGCGGTGGATTGGGCAAGGGGGCGTTGTCACTTTGTGAGGGGTGAAAAGTATAACTAGTGCATTGTTTTGCACACCTGAAACTGACATTCCCTGAGCACCTACCCATAGGGGCAACCAGCGCTGCCACAGAACTCTCTAGAACGATGGAATACTCTTTATCTGCGCTGCCCAATACAGAGCCACTAGCCATGCGGGGCTTGTCTGACTGAGGAACTGAAGTTGACATTTTACTGGACTTTAATTAAGATTTACCAGCCGTGTGTCGCTGGTGGCTACCCTAGAGGACAGCACGGACTAGACAGGTGTGAGCAGCTGTGGACGTGGAGGGAGACGTGGGCAGCGTGCTGCCCTCAAGGACTGACGGGGGCAGGGAGGAGAGGTAGGGCACACAGGCCAGCCTCTGCGGAGCCTGGCTGCGCGGGGCGATGGCCCTGCCCGCACACCTGCCTCTGGCCGCAGGGACGGAGGCGGAGGTTGGGCCCGTCCCAGCCCGGCGGTGCTGCCTTGGTACCTGATGATGTTGGCCGCAGCCTTCCGCTCCTGGGTCAGCAGCTCCGGGTCATGCATGACCTCCTCCAGGAAGCTGATCACCTTGCACTTGAGCTCGTCATTGGTCTCAAAGTCCTGCGGTGGTGGGGGGTGGGGGAAGCGATGGTGGCTCTGGCTACTGAGCTCAAGCTGCCCCGTGGGGCCCCGCCCAGGCCAGAGGAGGAAGCCCCAGTTTCTGGTTCTGTC